ATATATATAATGGAATATTACACAGCCATGAAAAGAAAGAAATCTTGCCATTTACAACAACGTGGATGGAACTAGAGGATATGATGCTAAGTGAAGTAAGTCCATCAGAGAAAGACAATTATCATATGATCTCACTAATACGAAGCATTTAAGAAACAAGGCAGAGGATCATATGGGAAGAGAGGAAAAAATGAAACAAGATAAAACCAGAGAGGAAGACAAACCATAAGAGACTCTTAATCTTAGGAAAAAACTGAGGGTTGCTGGAGGCGCTGGGGTGGGGGGTAGGAGGGATGGGGTGGCTGGGTTTTGGACACTGGGGAGGGTATGTGCTGTGGTGAGCGCTGTGTGTTATGTAAGACTGATGAATCACAGACCTGTACCCTTGAAACAAATAATACATTTTAAGTTAATTAATTGAATTTAAATTAAAAAACAAACAAACAAACCAAAACAGCAACAACAAAAAACCATTGTTCCCTCCTAGGCATGCAAATCACATTGAGATTTTGTTTCAGGCCAAGCCACTTCCTTCAGGTTCCTTTTGCCCAGCTGCACCTGGGCCCACTCAGAGGCAAATTAATCAAAATGCTTGTAGGTGAGAGGTTATACTCAATAAGCTATTTATTGAGCACTTGCATCTATCTCATTGCTAGGTTCTATGGCAGAGACAAAGAAGTGAGGAACATGGTCTCTTTTGAAATCAAGAATGTACAGTGGAAATCCACCAAGTTGTTCCCTCCCTTCAGCCTCTCTGGCTGTCAGATCGAAGTGCTGACAGCCATTAATGTAGCAGCTGCAGTCATCCCCCCAGAAGGTACTGGGCTTATACATGCCATTGAGCCATGATTAAAGGAACTGTCTCTCTCTTTTTTTAAAGTAAACTCTGTATCCAATGTGGGGCTTCAGCTCACAATCCTCAGATCAAGAGTCCCATGCTCTACCGATTGAGCCAGCCAATCGCCCCTGAAGGAACTGTCTTGAAAACCTCGGTAACTATGAACAAATCGCTCATTGCCAGCCCTCATGGTTGCCCACCTGGTTTCCACCTCCCACATCACATTTGGAGTCTTTTAAAAAGAATAATTTTCAGACCTACATACTGACAATGTATCCAAAATAGCAGACAAGATGAACATCTGCATTAGAGATAAACACCTTAAACCTCACTGCCATTGAAAGTCCCCATCACAGAGTGGTGTCCAGCACGTACACATTTAGAGCTTCCTTTTCCTCTCCTGATTCAGTTTCATTGTATGTGGCTAATGATAAAACTGTTATCCATTGCCTTGGCAACATACCCATTTGCTAAAAGGAGAAATAAAACCTGAGATAGAAAATTTAAATTTTCTATCTGCCAGGTCTCTTATGCTAATTTAGGAAATATTTTTTAAAAAACAATAGATATTGGGGCACCTGAGTGGCTCAGTCAGTTGAGCGGCTGACTTTGGCTCAGGTCATGATCCTGGGGTCCTGGGATCAAGCCCTGAGTCAGGCTCCGCACTCAACAGGGAGTTTGCTTCTCCCTCTGCTCCTGCCCTTGTGCTCTCAAATAAATAAATAGAATCTCTAAAAATAAGCAAATAAAAGTAATAGATATTAATAGCCTACAAATAGTAACAGGAAAATGTTTCACGAGAGACGACACTCATGAAAATGTATTAAAGTTTGTTTTTTTAAATGTGAATCAGAGTTTTGATGCCATTAATATTTTAATGAAGAACATTAAAGAACACTTCTGCTCAAAAACTTATAACTATAGTCTTCTAGTAACTTCCTGAATTTTGTGCATATTGGAATTCCCCTTACTGGAATTTATAAATAGTTAAAGAAAATAAAGGTTACTCTGAGGAAACACTAACTGTAGATTTGAAAACAATAAAAGATTAGTGCTTTAAGGCTATAATGTATAAATCAGATAAAAATGCAAATTTAAAACTCAAGAATTTTTTGAATCCTTATTGCAGATTTCCAACAGAAGTAACCTCATAATTTGTTATCTGTTATTTACAATCCACTTCAGCATTTCTGTGGTTTTACTTTTCCCCCCTTCGATTAGTTTCTGTTGATAAATGAAAAACAAAAGAAATGGAAGCATTTTCAAAACTGAACCAAAATACTAAAAAGTAGCTGATTGTAGAACAGCCAAATACCACAAAAGTATTCACAGTATTTTATTTCCATGTCACAATTTTGTTGGCCAGAAGCTGCCTTTAGCCTTTAATCTGAGGGCTTGCTCACAATTTAGGAAGTCAGCTAGGCAGCATTCCCAGGAAATGCAAAGAGCATGACAGGACTTGCACTCTGTTGGAGTAGAAACACATCTATTCTGTGTTTTGGGGGCACAAGACCAGAGTCTGCATACTTCCTCACCCTGTAGTTAACTATTGCTATTGCAATAGGATTCTCATGCCCAAAGAGATCCTTTTAATGAGTTTATATGTTTATCTTATTTTCAAAGAAGTTGTTCTACTTGAACCATTGAATTACGAAAGTATTCAAAAATTATTTCAGTTTAGTTTGTTTTTTATTTACAGGGAATATTACACAGCTAATTGGCAGAATACCTAGAATATATAATAATATCTAAGTGACTTTTTAAAGTTTTTTTTTTATTTTTATTTGACAGAGTCAGCGAGAGAGGGAACACAAGCAGGGGGAGTGGGAGAGGGAGAAGCAGGCTTCCCGCGGAGCTGGGAGCCCGATGTGTGGCTCGATCCCAGGACCCTGGGACCATGACCTGAGCTGAAGGCAGACACTTAACAACTGAGCCACCCTGGCGCCCCCTTATTGAGTATGCTTATGAACCACTTATTTAATCCTCACAACAGCACTTTACGGTAGGTACTTTTTTTTTTTACGGTAGGTACTTTTATTGCTCTCATTTTACAGGTAAGAGAATCAAGTCTCAAAAAATGTAAAGAAACTTGCCTAAGGCCACACTATTCACAAAGGGCAAGATCAAATCTGAACCCAGATCTGCCTCCCTCACAAAGTGTGAGTGAGGCTTTTAACCACCTTCCTCCTGACAAATCACCTACCTATCCTATAACAAGATTTCTACATGCTCAATATTGGTACCTACCTAAGAGGATAGTCAATTACAACATCAACTTAAAAAGTAAAAAAACTGACGAGAGGAAAAAGGTAAACGAAGTTTGGCTCAGTCAAATAAACTGAAAAAAATTCCTCTCCAGGCCCCTGGTTAGGGGTCTAGATAAAGGCAGATCTGACCTTGTAAGTTATGGCTCTCCAGGCACAAAAGCAAGGATACCTCAGCCTGCCCCATGGGGGCTGGTACTGAAATGTCTTTCAATGCAGCACTATCAGGGCTGCAAGAAGAGGCCATGAGTAGGGAGAGGGGGAGAGAAAAAAGGAGAGTAGAGGAACTGAGTCTGATGTTGGAAGTCTCTATCATCACTTCCCCTTCAGTTCACTGATCTTTTCAATTGAATCTCAGCATCAGGGTGAATGTTTACATCTGGCTATGTAATCGAACTCTTCACAAGGTATAATCTACTTCAGGACTGGTCCTGCTGTGAGGAATTAAGATCCGCCATCCACATGACTTCATTTAAGCATTACATTCTGCAAGGCCTTAGACTTGTGGCCAGCTGAAAAAAGCTGGCTGAACTATCACCACTCTATTGTCTAGGCTTTGGGCCCCTGGATTTCCTCTTCACTCCCTGGAAGCACGTGTACCTGTGCATGAAGTGTGTGTGTAAGGATAGAGGTGTATGCACAGGAGAAGGGGGAAGCTGCGTTCTCCAGCCACTCCAGACCTGAACAAATGGAGTTTTGCAGTAACTGAGTGATTTGAGGGAAAGTAAACATACAAACCCAAGCAATTAAAGGGAAGATGATCTTACTTAATACCAGGGATAGTTTTTCTTTCTGCCTCTCAAGTCCAAAAAGGAAAATCAGGACAAGTGACTTGTAAACTTTAAGGTCAAGGACCCTTTCTGTTGAGCTTGGCTCTCAAGTTCTCAGTAGTCAACTGCGCGTGAAACATAATTAATAGCAAGATAAATATAAGTTGTGGAAGATGCAATTGAAAGTCAGAGCCACTTCCATGGGCCCCTACAAAAAGCCTATCATAAACAAGACTTAATCAACATTAGCAGGTCTATTAAACAGTATCACCTAGCTCTTCTCTAGAGCCTCTTATTGGGGTTTCTCTGTGTGGGTGTGTTCGTAAGGGAGTGGGTGAGCAAGAGTTTACTGGGTACAATTTGTGTATTTACAAGAGAAAACAGAAGCTCTGAATGAGGAAGAACATATGTTTCTGGGACAGCATCTGTGCAAAAAGTACACAGCCCCTGAAGTTGTACGAAATAAAAAAAAAACCTTTTAAAAAAGTTTTATTTCACACACATCTTCTTGGCACATTTCCCTCCTACTGTCCTTTCTGCCTGACCTTTCTGACCCTCAGATCCAGGAAAACCATGAAATGTTGAACAATCTGACAGAGGCTGCCTAACCGGATAAACCGCTCACTCGGGGATCCCACAAGCAAATCTTAGCCCAGGATCAGCAGTGACTCTCCAGGGCGCACCTGCCTAGAGAGCGGCTGCTTCTGCAATTAAGCGGAAATCACATCCTCTGCCAGGGCTGCGCGGACGCGGAGCGCCGCAACCCGAGCCGGGCGCGGCCCCGGCCGGCGGTATCCGAGGTGACTCGCTGGGTTTGCGCGGCCCCGGGGGGACCGCGCCTGTCCGCGGTCTTCCCCGCGGGGCGTAACTCGCCAGGTGTCAGCGCGCGGCCGGCCCCGCCCCCGCTCCCGGGCCGAGTGCGCGTGCCTGGCCGGATCCGCGCCCCCTGCCCAAGGAAGGTGGGGGGTGGGGGGAAAGCTGGGCCTCTGCTCCCAAGGCCGCGCTTCCCCCCGGCTCGGGCCTCAAACCAGGCGTGGGGGCGGGGCCGGAGGCGGGGCCGGGACGACGGGGCGGGGCTGGCGCCAGTGCCCCGGGCTCTGCTGCAGTTTCGTCTGCAGGTCTCGCGGCGGGCGAGCGGCTTCGTCGCCCCCTCCGGCCCCATGGCAGCCCCCGGCTCCCCTGCTGAGTGCGGCTACATCCGGACAGTCCTGGGCCAGCAGATCCTGGGGCAGCTGGACAGCTCCAGCCTGGCTCTGCCCTCCGAGGCCAAGCTGAAGCTGGCGGGGAGCAGCAGCCGCAGCGGTCAGGCGGCCAAGAGCCTGCGGATCCAGGAGCAGGTGCAGCAGACCCTGGCCCGGAAGAGCCGCAGCTTGGTGGGCAACGGTGAGTGGAGCCCAGCCGCCCCCCCGCACCGCCCGCATCCCACCCCTTATCCCTTCCCCTCCCTCATTCTCGGCGCCCTGTTGCTTCGACTCGCTGCCTCCTTAGGTTGCGGGACCTGGTGTTCTGCCCACCTGTTGCTCCCGGGCTCTTTGTACGACCCGCCGCGCCTCCAGACTCAGACCGACTTACTTGGGGAAAGCACTCTCCTAAAATAACCTCTTTCTCAGCTTCTTCGTATATGCATCTACATATATAAATGTACATACATGTGAAAGAATTCAATTTTCACCCCTTCCTTAACACCCTCCCCACCACCCCCACCACCAATATCGTGGACTTAATCTGGAGGCTCTGGGAGTCTATAAACACTTTGAGATTCTATGCAGAAAACTGGTATGATCATTTTTTCTGGAGAAAAATCTAGCTTTTATTAGATTTTTAAGTCTATGACCTCTCTAGAAATTTTTTTGAAAGAGAAAACCTGAAAGTACTGGCCCTCCCTCTTACAACCTGTAAATTGTGATTGAGGTGCCTCGCCCAGGTATTTCGGGGCGCTCCACCCTGTGTACGGAGCGAGTGGTTGATCTAGGAAGTGAAAAATTTTGAGCAGGAGGCTTTGGGCCGGGGAACAACCACATCACCCCCGGGAGGAGGTGGAGGAAGGGGACTTTGGCCTGGCCCGCAGCAGCCTCGCCCGCCTTCCTAAGGCGAGCGGACGTCCTCTTGGGCACAGCCCTGGTCTCTCCAAAAAGATTAAACTTGGAAGTGAAAGGGGATCAAAAAACGACAATAACACTATATTAGTAATTGATAGGGGAGGTGGAAGGGAAGATGGCAAACCAGCTGTGAAAATTAGAGAACATGATGTATCATTTTCTCCCCTGAGATAATGATCTCCCCTCAGATAATCAGAGCCACACAGTAATTCTTTTATTAGTTATTTGATTTATTTTCTTTATTATAAAAGAATTATAGGCTTATTACAGAAAAGAGAAGAGGAAACTAATTGAACGATTAAGTTGTGATATCCGTTTGTTTCCTGCACTGTTGAACAGTTTCTTTGGGACATAACTTGGGCAATGGCAAATGTAGAACCCATTAGGAAAAAAAAGAAAATGCAGACCAGAACAAAGATTTAAAACAGCAGACCTTGGGAGGCTATATTGTTTTCAGTTTGTGTGAAAGAATCTTAAAGGATCAGGCAGTCAATATTTACATACTTCAAAGGTAAAGAGAAGATATTTAATGATTGTAGTTAATGCAATTCCCTACTGTGTGCCAGGAATTGAACTACGTGGTTTGCATTCATTGTATTGTTATATTAAAAAAAAAAACAAAAAAACTTTTGTCCTAGATGTTTTAATCCCCATTTTACAAATGAGGAAACTAAGGAGTTAAGTAACACTGAAGTTCCCACAGACAGTAAGTAGCAGAATTGGTATTGAAACCACCAAGCCTCAATTTTTAAACCACTCATCAGTTACATTGTTAAGCTTTTTGGTTATTAATACACAATGGGATTTTTATTAGACCCTGGGGCCTTCCTGGTCTCCTCTCATTTTCCTCTAAGTAAAATTGAGGTAGTTCTGAGAGTAGGGAGGTCTGGACAACACTGAACTGCCACTCTACATGGAGAAAAAGAACCTGAATTTACATTTGAGAGTGTGACAGCTGAGGCCAATTTTTGATCAGTGGTGTCATTGCAGCCAGTTCAGACAACACTGAACTGCCACTGTACATGGAGAAAAAGAACCTAAATTTACATTTGAGAGTGTGACAACTGAGGCCAATTTTTGATCAGTGGTGTCCTTGCACTGGATCTGTGCAGATCCAGTGTTAAGCTGAAACCAAACTAGGGTGTTCTGCTTGGGGGACACAGGAGATGCACCTTAAATGTTATTTCTTACCCTCTGAAAATGGCTAACCAGAAGAGCAACTAGACAGCCACTATTCAATAAATGGGGAAAATCAACAAAAGGAAAGGGAGCATTGCTGAGCATCTACTGTGTGCCTAACCCTGTTCTAAAATCTTCATATGTTTGATTTCATTAAATCTTTAAAACAGTTGCATAAGATGGATATGAAGCTCCATTTCACGTATGAAGAATGCATCAGTCTCTCAACATTTATTGGTTTCTTTGCCCCAAACCCATACATGATCTGTCCTCCTTACAACATGGTAAATTCATATTGCTTGGTGAATTCAAGAACTATGAAATGAGTCTGTTCTTCATGCAGGGCACTGTGCAGGTGCTGAATTAAAACAAAGACTGTGCTTGCTTTCAGGCAAGAAGTTTAAAGTCTGTAGAAGGAAACCTCCCTCTAAAAATATGTGTTACCACATAAAAAATAGTAAGCAACCCAAAAGAAGCACAGCTAACACATTACGGAGTTTGGAAGTTCTAGACTACTAGCTGAAGGGAATTTTGAAAAGCTTCTTAGAGGAATTGGGATTTTAGATCTCAAAAATTCAGTAGGACTGGACAGGGGTCTGTGGTTGGAGGAAGAGCATTCTAGGGGAGAGCAGTGGGGATATTCCAGAGTTCACAGAATTGATGTGGTAGGAACAAATCATGTCACTGTGCTTCTGCTCTAATGCTTAGGGCAACTGCTTGAATGGTTCTGCCTACTAAGAAACAAAGTGTTTGAAATATTTTGATTACAACAGCAGCTTCCCTGCAAGCTGAAATACGCTCAGCAGCCTCTCAGGCAAAGAGATAAGGCAGCTAACAACACCTACTTATTCTAAAGCCTTAGTTTTCTGAGACTTAAAAAGGAAATCGGCTTCAAAGGAATTTAACATTAACATGCCATGGAACAATTACCAAGGGTGGTTCGTGTATGTTAATTGAAGTTCTTTGAAAAGGCCTGGGGGCTTGTGATGGTTGTGAGTATTGTTTTTATTATTTCCGTATTACTATCATGTCTCTAAAGTTGAAACAGACAAGCAATTGTTACAATAGGGCTGGTCTGGAAAGAATCCTGTATCAACACAAGTCTGGGAAGAAAGGACCCCGGTGTTAACTGCTGTTAGTTCCAGAGCCCTGGAGAATTCGGAATTGTTGACATACCTGCAAGATTGGGGCAGCAGATAATCTGCTGAAAACAGAGATGTGAAAAATGAGGCTGATTTGTTGATAAATACCCTGCAAGGGTCTTGAATGCTTCAGTGTATAGGTGGGTGGTTTTCATTGTAAATCATTCTAACCTTTGTTGCTGTTTTAAACTGTGCTGAACATTTTAAAGTTCACTGTAACTCTTGGGAGGGGCGTGTGTGAAGGGGGTGGGTTAGAGGGACGGGGGTCAGAGGCATGTAGCAGCATTGTGAAATGAGTGAGTGTATTGTAGGGAGTTTTAAAAAATCACTTTATAAACATCACAGAGAAGACATTTAAGAACTGCAAGTATTAGCAAATGAAAAAATTTAAAGTGTCCATATCCTATTTATTACACTTACTTTGAAAGTACTACTATACTTATTACACAGCTCCCCCAGGTGCTTGAATGGGAAGAAAATCCTGTTTTAAATTGTTATAGGTAATACTTGTAAAACACAGTGAACAATATCCTAATAAAATTTGCAACTTCTTTGGAAATACACCAAAAAACTTGAAGCATGTCATTTACTTAGTTTCCCTGGCCAAGATGTTTTGATTATCTGTGATCAGAGGAAATTCTGGAGAAAGGGCTGAAAATTGGTTAAGGAAACAAAAAAAGGTTATTAATAGGTGTTATTGGAGAGAGTGGGGGGGGAGGGTGTTCAAATCCTGATGCATTATTTGTTTGCCAAAAAGGAATTCCAGGAATGAAGCAATTCTGGGAACGAGGTGGCTAGTCCTTCAGAAAGTGGGAGGGATCAGGAGAGGGGAAAAAAAGAGTCCGATGGTGGGGTGGCAGAGACGTGCCCAGGCTGTTCTGAATGTGATAGGTCAGTAGTGGCACCTGATTTAATGTACCTCTGTGTGCACCTAGTAGTGCCCAGGGGCTACTTTTTGTCTGGTGTCTAGCAGATCGATTGCAGTGAGTACAGAAAAAGTGTGTGGGGGTTTTTAGTTTAGTTTTGTGGGTTTTTTAAAAAAGATTTTATTTATTTGCGAGAGAGAGAGAGAGCATGAGCACGCGCAAGCTGGGGGAGCAGCAGAGGGAAAGGGAGAAGCAGGCTCCCCGCTGAGCAGGGAGCCCCAATGATCCCAGGACCCTGGGATCATGACCTGAGCCGAAGGCAGACTTTTAACCAACTGAGCCACCCAGGCGCCCCTTGTTTTGTTTTTTAGAAATTCTTCTGATGATAGTTAATAAAAGGAAATAGAATGTTAGCAAAATGTGATTACAAAAACTATATTCCACACCCTTAGAAATAGTGAGAACACATTCTTTATGGATAAGGTCTTGAATGAGAGTGTGCTAGGGATCTTTCAGAATTAGTGGAACTATAACAATGTTTGATTTTGATTATAAAAATTCATTGCTCTATGTGTCATAGATAAAATGCAGGACATTCCCTTCAAGAGAAGACTGTTATTAAGGTTTTTTAAAAGCCTCCTTTAATGTTATCTGTGCCCTGTGCTAGTAGTTCCAATGATGGAAACAGAGGGGAGTTCACTTGACTCAGATATTCGAGGTATTTGTTGTTCACATTGGCTCATTTTTCTAAAGTGCTGTTTCGGTTAACGGCTTTAAAGCTTTTTTCTCATATATTAAAATAAGGATATACATATTTGCATTATTTTATCTTCAGATATAGTTAACATTGATTTTACAGTAAAACTGAGGTTCTGGCCTGATCAATAAAAGCCTTATTTTTTCTTTTCTAAGAGAAATAAGCATATTATTGGCAACCTATCTATGATAGTAATGAAATATAAAAACAAATATGTTGCTAGAACCTCTGGACTAATAAGTCCCATAAAAGATCATTTGGTTCCATCTCAGATGATATTCAAGAATTTAAAATTATACAATTCTGAGATAAATGCTGGACTCCAGCTATTTTGTGCCTG